AGATTCATTATGTGAGAAAATGCCACATAAAATTCAGCTGTCAGAACTTCAAAAAACAGAGAATGGATCTGTTATCAAATAATTGCTTCCAATGACAATCATTTCCTCATAAACTAGAACAAATAACAGATTAAGTATCAAATCTTCACAGGTAAGAACCTGACAGCTGGAAATTTTTGGCATATGACCTATTATTAATTAATTGTTAATGAATTCTCTAAATATCAGCCACTAGGATCTGCTAAACGTTTCGGCTTCATTTCAACATAAACACCACAGCAGCACTCATTCAATGCTGTGACAGCTTGACAGGTCAAAACAAAGAAAGTCACGACAGCATTGTCTCCGTATCAGCTTTTAGCTGAAGAACAGCACCACATATACACTATACTGATGTTACCCTTCAAGCATTTTACATCATTATAATCAAAGCCCATCTGCAAACAATGTAATGTGCAGCTGTTACTTCAACCTTTCATATCAGTCTTAGAACGAGACAGGAGAAAGACGTGACATGTCAAGCAAAACAGTGCTTGCACCATCCTTCCTGTTCAAAGCATTTCATCCAGCCTCGAGGACACACATCAGTTTCTTCTACCAGCCCTCCACCTGTAAATCCTGCTCTGAGGGCTAACATCCACTGGATCAAATATACACTACAGATATATCATGCAGAACTCTTTGTTATAAGCCACGTCTGATAACATGCTGTGAAGCTGACAAGAGTGCCCATGTGCACACATCTGAGCAAAATTCTCCGTAAATGGCTTTATTACAGCTCTACAACGCAATTATAGTAATATCTAACTACAGAAAACCAGTCCTAGCAAATGAGCTTTATAAGTACATAACAGCAGGTGTCAAATGGTAAATGTGCACAACTCCATGAAATGCTTTACACATATTTCTAGTATAGTATAAAAAAAGTCTGTTCACACATTTTTCATAATGCAAAAGTTTAGACAAATTACTCATACTTTCACTTTTTTAATGTACAGTACACTGCACATTAACATTTTATATTAAAAACACTGATCATTGTGTCAATTTGTATGGCAGACAAGTCCAAGCAGTCCACGTTCTCAGATATACTGCAGACCACGGTCGTCGTCTGATTTGTTTTCATTAGAGAGCCTTCACTAGTCTTTCCACGTTGAGTGCTTGCTCCTCTATCAGACACTACCGTTAAAGAGGCAAGTTGTTCCCTGTGCATTCAGCGTTGCTGCTCAATGAAAAATGAGCTTGTTTTGGAGGGAGACCGTGTCAGCAAGAAAGAAGACACCCCATGCTCTGTGGCGTCTTCAGAGCCCCCAGCTTTCTTATGCTGCACAGGCCACTCTTACTTTATCAGAGCTGGTTGTAGAAATAACTGGAGTGTGTGTGTGCGCGCGTGTGTTGAATCTGATAAGAAAACCTGACCGGAGTATTATCTGTACTGCTCTCCTCCCTCTTCTAACTTCAGTTCTGCCGCACTGAACATCTGTTGTTTGTATACTATATGTGGTGTCCACAATTAGGGACACACTGACCCAATATGCTGGATCACTAACAGCAGCGATATCAACCTTCTATTGGATTGGGCATTGGCTATAATATGACCGATCCACATTATTAGCAAAATTGGTCTATGGTAGCTCTTTCACTGCTGGACTATTAGACTGCAAATGCTGCGTAGGTCTGGTACTGAGTCGATCTCCTCATACAAACATTTCCCACAAGAAAAGGAATAATTAAGTACCGGTAATAAAAGAACATCAGCTGACGATCTGACCGCCACTGGAGCAGACAGCATTATGTCCTCCCGCGGGAGCACTCAGTGAGGACAGCCATCATTTTCTTGGGTATGTATGAAATGGATCACAAACTGAAGTGCGCAAATCGAATCAAATGCCACAGACAAGAGAACAGTGAACTGCAAGGAGCTCTTCAAAAATTACCTA